TTCTTCTTGCAAGATTCTAAGGTGACAAAGCAGTTTTAATATGCCTTAGGAATTGTATACATTTGCTCTTCTAATGCTTTAGCCTCCAGCCTCCTCACACTTATTCAGCCTGTTTGCACTCATATTCCTCTCTCAACAATAATCTTAAACCAGATTGGCACAAGTTCTGCTGAAACTAATTCAGGCAGACGCATTCATTTTATGCAGACTCCAATACCCAGAGATGTATCATTAGTCTGCAGATAAGCTTATGTGGGCGTAATAATAAGAATAAAAAGGAAAGTGGAGGTGATGGTATGTCTTTTTAAAGGCAAATGTTATTCATTTGGCTGTGAGTATTTGTATTTCTCTTTTTTTCCATCCCCTCCATCTTGATTGTATTGTCGAAATGACATTATGAAACGTTGGCTGCTGTTAATAAATGGGATAGTGGACATAATTGAATAGGGTTGTCACCTTATTAAATATGGAGTATTGGAAAATATTATTCCTCCCATTGGTAAGGGAAAGATAATTATATTTTATTTCTAGAATGACTTACTCTTGTGCATCTGTTTCATGAGCACCACAGCTTCAGCATTCACAGAATAGGTCCTTTTCTTTAGCTTGCTTAAAGTGTGCAGTTATGAGAGGCAAAGGTATATGCTACTTGAAAACAGAAGAAATGGTTAGTGTGAAAGACAAGCCATTGAAAATGATATATTGTAGAAAGAGCAGTGGATAATAAACAGGTCATGAACTCCAGGTCTGAAGTGTTTTCTAGAGGTAACTGTACATGTTTGATTTATATGAGTGCTAAACACTCAAGACGGAAATTAATATATATTTACCAACATTATATGGTGAAAAATGAGGGAAAAAAAACTCAATTAAGATTTTGCTAGGGTAATATAGAGCGCAACATGTCTTAGCATGAATGTCTTTGATAAATATCTATTATTCATGTGAAAACAATGATTAAGTTAATAAAGGCAAATACTAAAATAGCTAAAACAGTCTTGTAAATTCAGGAAATGACTGGAATCACTTTTCTGTAATACACCATTAAGAAACCATTTTGCCATATTTGATATCCAAAATGAAAACGAATGTTTGGATTTGAATGTGCCATGTTTGAGATTTAATGTTAGCTAAATAACTGTGAAGATCTCCCAACTATGTACGTTTTTTGAGTGGCAGGGAATTCAAGTATAGTTATGTCAAATGCTCATGTGACAAATAATAATATGTCACACATAAAATGTAATATGTGGTACTTGATTTCCTTAAAAGATTCAGGAAATAATTACCGCTTTGATGTGTTAACTGTACATTTCAACACCTTTCTTTTTGAAGGTAATTGTTTTTTCTCGATATGGACATAGTGCTCAGGCCATAACAGAGTTACAAGAACAAGTGATTAACTTCCCTCTCTCTTTCTCGTGTTTGTGTTTATTTCCCTGTAGCTCCATGTGGCGGCCATCTAACAGCTCCTACTGGTGTCCTGCTGTCTCCTGGCTGGCCCTCCTTCTATAAAGATTCTTTGAACTGCCCAGTGGGTGATTGAGGCACAGCCAGACCATGCTGTGAAGATACACTTTGACAGGTTAGTCATTTATTTTAGAGAGTTTTTTAATTTTGTTCAGCAGTTACTCAGAACATTTGCCAAATGAGTCCTTTTTTTGTTTACTTCTGCTGTGTCAGCTAGCATGTTATTAGTTAGTCAGTCGATTAGTATGTCAGTCTTTCAGAAGCATAATAAGTTGTTATATATAAATGTAGTTGGTAAATTACTCCTGCAGTGAATAATTAATGTTGCTTTTTTGCACATTTTGTATGTAAACAAGCCACTAGCAGATGCAGTGTAGCCTGAAATTGCTAAATCTGAGATTTGTGTCTTTGGGAAGTGGCGTAAAGGCCAAGCTATCTTCATTACCTACCAGGGAAATCATTTGTGAAGGATTGTGTCAGGTGCAGAGGATAGTTCATTGTTCATTTAGCTGGTTTGATATTAAGATGCCAGTTTGTGATTATAAAGTGTGCCAGTTGTTCCTAACTATTTATTGTAAGTCCTACTGAGTAGGTGAATGCATTTATGTGATCAGTTCCTACTGTATTGTATGGTTACAATTAAAACAAACAGCGCTCAGGTCATCAGAACCAACTGGTTCTCAGTGCCGTGCAACTAATTCCCTGTCAGCCAACAGTCAAATCAATTACTCAGTATAGTCAGAGACAAAAGAGAGTAATAGGGAGATAACAGGCCAGTCAATAATTCACCTAGTTAGTTACACAAGGTACTTACTTGGTTATTTGAGTACAAAGTCATTTAAATAGGCAGGTATAATGTGAGTCAATCACTATGGTTATTTAAGTAAGCTTCATTTATTGACATTGTTAAATGAACTGTGCTTAACATTAGTTCATCAAGCATTTCTACCGAATCCTCATTCTGCGTAAAAGTCTTGTTTGTTAACACCACTTGCTTCTGACTGCCAATACATGTTAGTTCTTTGTTCCACTGCTCTGTGAGGCAGCCATGTTGTATTCCATATAAATGTTATCTCTGTGTATGTGAGGTTATTGTACATGTTGATATTTTGTTTGTCTAGGTTCCAGACTGAGGTCAACTATGACACACTGGAAATCAGGGATGGCCCCTCGTCCTCCTCTCCTCTCATCGGCGAATACCACGGCACCCAAGCACCTAATTTCCTGATTTCAACGTCCAACGTCATGTACCTGTTGTTCACGACAGACAACAGCCGCTCGGCAGCAGGCTTCAGCTTCAGATATGAGAGTAAGAATGATTCACTGATAGAAATGTTTTGTTGACGCTCAGGGAATTGCTTTCTGGCGCTCATACACAGCAGCAATGTTTTTTTGCACACACGCATATACTCGCTCTCTTGACTCTGTGGTCTTTGTTCTTGTTTGATGTGATTCTCAGGTGTGAAAATGGAGTCAGACTCTTGTCTTGATCCTGGTATCCCAGTCAATGGTCGTCGCCATGGCAGCATCTTTTCCATTGGTTCCCGTGTGTCGTTTGCATGTGATCTGGGATACACACTGAGTGATCAGGAGCCAATTGTGTGTCAGCTGAATCATCAGTGGAGTCACTCTCTTCCCAGTTGTGATGGTGAGTCTTTCTTTTCTCTCATTTCAGCCCTCCTAAAGAAAGTGGCGGAATCCTTTTGTACTCTCTAGAAAAATAAATTAAGAGCAAGAATGATGTGATTATGTAAGAAACACAGTCACTCTGTGGACAACATGTCACATCCAGTTTGAAATGTTTTAAACACATTTAACAGTAAAGGTCTAAACCTGACCTTAAAGTCATTGAAAATATTTTATAAAACGTTCCATTTGTTGTAAAGGGGCTTACACTAACTCCTACGATTAGCAAAACAAGTTGATCTGAATTTAATCTTGGAGAAGAAAACAAGGGATCTGATTGATTATGGAAGCATTAGAGAGGATTTATTTGTATTTCTCCATCTAGACACTGTAGCCAAGAAAGAATAGCTGATTGTTGTGGTAATTTGGAGTCACTTTTTTTATCTAATTATTTTATTTTTACTTGTATAAGTGTGTTATTAGTATAAGCAAGCATGGAATTAATCTTTAGTGTACTAATCCGTCAAAATGGTGCTCTAATTCAGTCAACTATGACAAATATTTGATTGATGCGATCTCTGGGGATGGAGACTATGATAGTTGGTCGTGAGTCACTGGACAGGTCTCCAGGCTAACACAGGGCTACCACACGTAGACAGACAATCATTCACAGTTACACCTACAGGCAATCTGAAGGAAAGCTATGCACTCAGAGGGAACATCATGAACACTCAACAACCTCTGCTGTAACTTTGGACCACGTTGTACCATTCTCTTTTTTTGAAAAATAAAAAATTGGACCATGTATTAAGAAACTACACAAAATAAATTGTACAATTTTAGCAAATAAATAATCTTCATCACACTTGAAAATGCTTTCAAGTATATTGCCTTGACTTGTTTTGAATTAGTTATGGACGGTATTCAAATTACTCAAAGCTGTCCCTTTAAACTCTGAGTCACCTGTCACACTGAACTGCAGCTCCAAAACAAAGTACATTAGGAAATAAGCAGGCTTAATTTTGGGAAGACTTTCCAGTGCTGCTGCTGCGTCACTCTCACACGCAACCAAGCCTTGGCTTCAATACAGTAGCATTGTCCACAGTAAATGATTATGCTCAACTCCCTTCAGCGAGCCGCCAACTTCGTGTTTGTTGTGTTAGAGATGAAACTGGGATAGTGAAGTTTCACACAGTGGTTTGTTATTAGACTAAGATATCACAAGACAAACCTTTACATGATTAAATAGGAACATTGGGTCCAAACAAAATGAATATAAAGCTTGAAGGTTGTATGTCTAACTTAATTTTCGAACTTAGTAATATTGGGGTGTGAGGGGGAGTCGGTGTTATTATTAGTACCTTATTTCCCAGTTTTCTCCTTTTTCTCTATGTGTGAATAGCAGCCATAATATGTCCCCACTCCAGAGTACGCTTTACCACAATAGCCCAAGTTGGACACCAAGCCTCAGATAAATGATGCGGGTCAACAGGCATTGCTGAAACCAGATGCTCACTGACCACTGCAGGCTTCCCATTCAACTTCTGCACACAGCTTAAAGAGCCTGTGACACGAGTTTCCCCCATCATCCAAACCCATCAATTTGAGTAAATATTGTCCCCTTGAAAACCGTTACTGAACTGATTTTGGATATTTGTACTTTGATAACCATTAATCTGCCCTTCAATGTTGACCATTTCCTGGATCTTCTCGGGGATTCTTCAAGTCCCGCCAAATTACGTGTGACGTCATTGCGGGCACAGCGCTCCAGCTGCACAGTCCGGATCCCAGCATCTGCATGTAAACGCACGATGGCGCACACAGCAGCAAGCTCAGACAGCTCAGACAGTTTAATGTTGAACGTGTCTGAGAGCTCATATGAGGCTGAAGGATCGGTTTATGTTGTATCTGTTAGAAGTTTAGGAATTAGGTGCGTCAATATGGGCGATCATACGGTCATGTAGCCAGTGGTGGACTGGGACTAAAAATCATCCCGGGACTCTCGACCGGCTCACTTCGGTACCGCTAGTAAGTTGTCAACGGGGGGAGTGGGGGATGTCAGGGGCGGCGGGTGCTGTAGATAGTAAATGTAAATATGTAAATATTTGTGTCACTGCATCCTGGTAAAATACAAATATAATGCAATGTCTGTGTCTTTGACATTAGCGCTGCTAGCCACCTGTGCCCTGTGTACTACGAAGCCAGTTCAACAGACCCTGGATATGTTTGAGTAACAAACAAACTAACAACAACAAACTAACAAACGAGATCTCGCAAAGCGGTCCTAGGACGCTGGTTATCAACTCGGTAAATCAAGCCAGGGTTTCTCTCACCAGCTGAGAGCGCGTTCCCGTCTATGACACGAGTGGATCTGATTTTAATTACATTTGACTCGAGTGTTTCGTCAACATAATGTGTTGCTTAAAATAATACTTCTGCATACAGTATGTGACACTGTAAGTGTTGCACGGCCAGACACGGCAGATAAGGAAATATATGATATATTATGATATTATATGATCGATGATCTGATTGATGATGTAATATGAATGATAAGTGCGACACGTCGGCGTCTTCTCTGCATAGGCCTACGGCAGTTTAAACTGTATTTCCTTTATCCTGTAATATGACTTGAGAGATTTAAACTCCGCACACTGAGTTGATCTCTTTTCTATAGACGCCGGAGGCGGGCAGCGTCAGGTAAAAAAAGTTATTTAGCCTTCCCAAACCTGAGCCTCACGCGCCGCCTATGGGGGATGTGCTAGTGACTTATCCGACCGGCCCACTTCGGTACCGGCCCATCGGGATTCGTCCCGATGGCCAGTCCGCGACTGCACCCAGCCCAGGTAAACTGTCAACGGGGGGAGCCTCGCTGCGGGGAAACGGTGGACCTAGTGTCCCGATCGGAGTGGGAATAATAATAATAATAATCCGTGCATTTTATCCATTAATTTCCCCAACATTGTGGTGAAAAAAACACACGTTTAATCCATGTTGGTGTACTACAACTACAAAAAGCATCGGTTTGTTTTCTCATCAGGAAATGCAGACCGGCACAAACAAACGATTTTTAATCATCATTCTCACGATCATTTAATCTAATTAATTTAATCTATCTATGTTCGCCGAATTGACATGAAAGCACTAATAAATGTAGTTTCATCCACTTGAGTTTACAACTACAAAAATAATCGATTTGTTTTTATATCACATCCTACGGGAGGAGATTCAGTAGCTCTCACTACCGATTTGTAATCCTAATGTAATCATCATCTTCACCACGATCATTTATGTTTATGTTCGCCGAATTGACATGAAAGCACTGACAAATATGAATATACTGTAGTCAACTTCATTAAAACGTTATTAACGTGCCTAAACTCAGTAATTCACCATTTCTACGCATGACAACACACTTTGTCCGTGTTTGGCTCTCTCGCCGCACAGTGAAGCGTTCCCGCATTGACGTCACTTCCGGCTTCCCCCAAAACTTCAAAATGAGTCGAAGGAATTTCCCGCGATGTTCGAAATTATTGATATTTAACGGAACGGTATCGCTTTTTCTTTTTTAAACTGACGGTTCGAGATTACTAGTAGCCCAATATTTCATTGCACAACAGTTGTTGGGATGCTGTCACAGGCTCTTTAAGCTATCATGGGAGATGAACACAGCGTCTGATTCATTCTGCCGATCGAAAATAATCCAATTTGATAGCCAAAGTCAGGATGTCTCAACTTGGGAGTGAGTTCATACTAAGGCACTCTATCTCACAGTATCAGCCATATAACATAAGCAGTTTTAAACGGCCACTGTGACATTTCAATTTTCTGCCAAGCATGCCATCACAGTGACAGCACTATTTCAGAATAGCACTTTTCTAAAGTGAGTGTAAGCCTTAACTAGAAATATAAAATGTCGTGGTTTGCTTTCTGACAATCTTCCTGGGACTGGAAAGAAGTGTCAAATATGTTTTAGCATGACTATTCTTTTTTATTTTAAAGATAATTAACCATATTGTTCTGTAAGTGAACTCTTTTCCTACCTATTGGCAATTGTATGTCCAGCTCAACTGATTTGCATCTTTTGGAGCTCTGGGAGGAAGCCAGAGCGAACCCACGCTGGTCCACTGAGAAAGACTAAGACATCTCACATTAATTTATAGCACAATGAAAATCATCTTTAAAAACTCCCTAAGCCATACTCAAAGCAATTCATACACACACATAGTCGCATTAACAACAGTAATCTTATTTACAGTACAGTCTCAAAGGCACAGTTAACATTTTAATAGGAACAGACAACCTTTTTCTGCCATACCGACTGCATTACAAAGCCACCAAAATTCATTATTCTCTCAATATTGTGTCCAAAAGAAAAACAAAATGACAAGTAGTCCTCCTGCAGGCGTGCAGAGACCATTCCCTTTCAGTGCCTGTTGGACCCAAACCACTCGTCTCATTCCTGCAGGTCAGCTAAATCTCCAAACACAGAATACAGAACACTGTCTGCTATTTCTTTATGTGCCAGGGAGAATATTGAAGGAGCACAGTGACATTTGAAATCCTGAAGCTGATGCAAAGACAACAACTTGTAACCACTTAAGCCCAAGCCTGGTTTTCAGGTCTCAGAACAAATGACCATAACTTCACTGCTAAAAGGGTAAATTAATAATCCTTTTTCTCTAAGCAATGATACACCTGTGAGTTGGATGTAGAAAAGTCAGAATCAATATAGATTTTTTTTATTTTAAAATTAATTCAGATTGAACATAGTAAAAACATGTAAATTATAGTGTCCGTCCAAAAGAACCACATTACTTATAGTGAAAACCACCCTTGAATGATGGGATAGCAGACTAAAAGCTTTAGGAATCCAAACTATAACATATAATAAGTACCCTGTATCAAGATTGATGCAAAACAAGTGACATTTGACCTTTTTAGAGAGATTTAGAAAAATAAAAAACACTTCTGGGGTCATTTGGGTGGACTTTCCATATCTCTGGCCCCCCTCGGTCGATTTTGATGACCACTTTTTAACCGTTAGAGCCAATAGAATCAAGGGGAAGTTCCTAAAATCCATCTTAACATTACCCATTGGTGAATGAGTGATGCACAGTCAGAATGCCCAAAATCGGAAGCTGTCATACACTCTGGTAGCTATCATAGCAGCTATATATGAAAACTTCGTTCTTGACATAAATATGAAGATGGATTATCAGTAATCATTTCAAAGTGACACAGACACATTGGATTAACCTATGGATTAACCTTCAGCAGCGTTTTATGCGTTTTAATGCCATTGAACACAACTTTTGATCAGAAAACAGCAACGGTAAGACTTATTTTCCGGTTTGGTCCCGTAAAGCTACGTTGTGTGTTGTCTGGGTTTGTTTCCCCTGCTGCAAGTTTTGATCGCACAGTGATGATACTAATACTTCTAGAATCTGTGGAATCTCAGCTTGCTAGCTTATATCTTCTTTGTGCAGATCTGATAAGTAATAAAGTATTTTAACTAGTGCTGTAAAAATTATCGCGTTAACGGCGGTAATTAATTTTTTGAATTAATTGCGTTAAAATATTTAACGCATTTAACGCATGTGCAGAATGGCCCGCCCCATACGTGCCACCAGTGGCAGCGCCAGGGTATGGCTGGGGTAGGCTACACCCATAACAAGAAATGGCTTAGCCCCACCATGAAAAATGATGTTAAAGGAAGCAAAATAAAGTCTGCCAACTCGCGCGGAGTAAATTGCACAGACAGCAGTTAGTAAGATTGATTTCAGTAGCCACGGTTTTGAAAACTTTTGTCACGTAGTGATCGTCTTCTCAATAGAACATCTTTGATAACGGCGTGGTGTTGTTGCAGGAAGTCCCGACGGAGAATACTTTTGCTGTAGTACAGGGGTGCACATAACTGGTACGCAGGTTATGTGCGTAATCTGAAATGCGTACCGTCACTTGTGTCACAAAGCGCATTTGCGTACCGACGTACTTGTGAAGCTTTTCCAGAAGGCGGTTAGATCACAGGACGACAGAGTCGGTCTCCGTGTGCACAGACAGGGCTGCTGTTAACGTCGGTCTGTACAACGGAATTGTGCCAAAACTATGCCAACCGGCTGCGGAGGGAGACTCCCCCCCCCTTCACTGGAGAACTGCGCTAAAACAGCTGATCACAACGTTCACACTCTGTGGTCACGAAGTACTCCACTAGCTGCCCCCCCCCTCTGTCGACTTTCCTGAAGTACTCCCCCGTTGATAGAAATCAACACGTAATGAATTAAGACCCCACGGTTTGATGATTGATAGGTGTGTGGGTTGTCTTTCATTTTGACACGCAGAAAAAATGTTATAATAAACATAGATACTGTATGTTAAATGGATATATCCGCCATCTTTCATTTATCTTTCCATTCCCACAACAATATGCATAAATAAATGGCATATTTTGGACATAGTTCGAATGGTGATTAATCATGATTAATTAATTTTTAAGCTGTGATTAATCTGATTAAAAATGTTAATCGTTTGACAGCACTAATTTTAACATGAGTTCTGTGCTAAGTGCGTTAACATTTTTTGGCTCAGGGCTAATTCAGAGGCTTGTTATTACCCTTGTGTTTTGTTTAGCTACAAATGGTTAATATTGTCTGATAGCTGACACATTCATAGTTTATTAAGTGTTAAGAAGCCCTCAGACGCTGTTTCTTGCAAGATGTTGCGTTTTGCCCCCGGTACCGGGGGCATGGGGCTTAACTGGTTTTAAAAGGGACCGAAGCCACAGAATCCATTCAGTTAAAAATGCCATGGCATTCTCTAAAAGGAAGATAATTATTGATTGAGACAAAAAACAGTCAGGAAAAGGGAGGGGGGTGTAGCTGGAGTCTGGTATACTATCTTCCTCTATTTACTTCTACTCTGAAAAACAAGCCATACATTTTCTCTCAGCATTATTTTTTATTATTTATTTATTCTACTAAAATCATACAAAAACAAAAACGTATAATTCATACACACAAATGAACAAAATTAGTAGAAGCGGGAGGGCTGAAGCATTCATTCATTTCTGCCACACTTTGATTTGCTTCTCTGATCATTGTTAGTCGTGAACAGTCTTTTTCTTTTGGCTTACTCTTTTTGTTTTATCACATTTTTATGCAGCTCACATATCCTCCCACACATACCAATCAATCAATCAATCAATCAATCAACAACTTTATTAATCCCGCAAGGGGCAATTGGTTATGAGCAGCAGTTTATGTCATGTGTTATGTCATACCTTAACAATCTGCCTCTATCTTCTCACACAGAGATTATTCACATACTCTGATGTGTGTACTCAAACACAGTAGGTACGATGTAGGCCCACATGCACAACAAGGCTCATTTACTCAGAGAGTGTCCTAGCTTTAGCTAATGGGAGTGGGAAACCAAATCACACATGACTGCTAGCCTCTCTGAGAGAGAGTGGCTTCCTTCACAGCTGCTCTTCTCCAGCTTTGTTGAAATATGATATAGTTTGGAATGTAAGACACTGATAGAAAGAGGGATGGAGAGGCAGAGACACAGCAGTTCTCTACAAACACACGCTGGTATAGCTGCCGTATGGAAAATAAACAAATCCTAGACATCCGTGTTCATAAAGTCAACATATACATTTTACCCAAATTGCCTAATTAATAAAAATATAAACCTGGAGTCAGGCAGGAGTTACAACAGAAAAGAAAAACCATTTTATTGTCTCTGATTTAGTTTATATTCTGGGATGTTTAATGGGAACACACACATCCAGCATATTGATGCATTTAAATTGAATTAAATGTAACAGAAAATAGTTGATAGAGATAAAGGCACAGTGAGAGTAACAAAAAAGAGTCAATATAAAACAGTATTATCTTAGTTCAACAGTCTGTAAGGCACAGTAAGCCTTCTTTTACTCCATTACTTTACTATAGTATTTTCCATTCTGCTATATCCTAAATCAGTTTGTTCCATATCAGTGGTCCGGCTCTGTGTGGAGTCGAGGTGTAACGCACACACCAGTCACTCTTTTTCTCAACAAACCACTCTCTTGTCCCTGATGTTTATTTGTGTTTCTAAATGTACTGTATCTGGCCTTATCCCTTTTTTCTCTCTTAATGTATCTAGAAACTGCATTTTCTTATTTCTACTTATTTACTATTCACAATTCACATTAACTGACACAAAGTGATTTGTTTAAATCAACATTAAAGCTTTAGTGAATGTTATATACTGTATCTTGTGGACACACACAATGATTCCATTTATGTCAGAAATGTCACTATTATGATACAGCGTCTTGAACTGTTTATTCTGTGAAAAAGTTAGCGGACCCCTACGGTAATTCTGGCCACTAAAACAACGCAGTTGAGGTTGGGCAATGGTTTGTGTAATTGTTTAAAGACGCTATGATTCATATTTCTAAAATAATGACGTCTCAATCGACAATGTGAAAGGGGTCACTTATAGTTGTGAACCAACTGAAAATAATCACCTCAATCCGACGCGATTATTGAGGCAATATATACATGCATTTTTACAATCAGGTTGACCCACTCAACATCTGTACTTTTATTGATTTACATTTTATTAGAGTTTTTTCCTCCCTATAATTATTTTAATATCAAGGATATTTTTGTGTAGAGAACATTGTTGTGGCAATTTAGCACTCACAACAGGAACGAATGAAACAGAGGAATCAATAAAACACAAACACAGATAGAGTTGATGATCAATTATTATTTCGTTGTACAACAATCAATAATAACGAGGAAAACATTACCTCTGTTCTCAAGCAGACCTACAGCAATGCTCCCACCCAGTAGAACTTTACAGAGACATAGGATTCTAAAATGACGCACCCTCATTTTCCTTACATTACCTAACACACGACATCACATGTTCTGCTTCTGAATGCTATACTTGTATGTTCCAGATGTCGGAAGTTTACTTATCTCATGACATCCTTTAGGAGTAGTCAACTAACAAAGGTTAACTGTTTTTATAACCTGAGGCCTTCTCTGAACTTCCTCTAACCTCGGTGTCAGCTCACTTCAAATGAATACATCTATTGACAATTCAGAACGACCATTTTCTCTCTAACTCTCGTGTGACCCAACTCAGTAACACACATCATATAGCTTACCATGTGACCTTAATGAATATGCCAGAAATACGCTGTAATACAGATTTTGCCATAACACTATACTGACACCATGCTCAAGAGTGACACAATTATGCCGGTGTTTGCAGTTCAGCAGCTTCAAAAATGCTGAATTCAGTTTAATTCCAGTCTGTTAACTAATGACATTTAGAGCAAGAAATCTGTTATTTTGTGCAGTACTTAAGATATGTCTTTTTTTCCCCAAGTGTTATAATTGGTCATTTTTTTTGAATTTGTTCAGGTCTTTCAAAGCTCAGTGCAAATGGTTTATAATTAACACTACTCCTACTTTCTTCTTGCAGCTCTTTGTGGAGGTTATGTCTATGGTAAAACAGGAACAATTCTGTCTCCTGGCTTTCCTGACTACTACCCCAATTCTCTAAACTGCACATGGACTATAGAGGTGTCACATGGGAAAGGTAAGCACTCACATACACAGAAATAATGGAAACGCCCATTCTATTTGCATGGAAAATAAGGTCAAATGTTCAAGATTGCTGTGTTTCTGGGTTCTTTTTCCATCGGATGCCATTAATGAGTCCGTGACTTACTCTGTATCTATCCATCCATTCTTCCTTTGCTTTCTAGGAGTCCATCTGGTTTTCCACACGTTTCATCTAGAGGAGAACCACGACTACCTTTCTATCACTGAGGACACCAATTTCCTTGTTCCAGTGGCTCGACTCACCGGCTCAGTGCTGCCCCCTAGCGTCAAAGCAGGGCTCTACGGGAACTTCAGCGCTCAGCTACGATTCATATCGGATTTTTCAATGAGTTATGAAGGCTTTAATATCACTTTCTCAGGTAGGAACCCCCCAAAAGAAACGGCCTTTTAAGGCTGATTAATGTTCTAATCATGTTCACAGACCTTTCATAAAACCTGGAAAAGCATTAAGATATTGCACTCTAAGCCACATTTGGTTGAACCTGTTATGTGCGGCTGATTGTTGACGTACAGAAGGTGCGGCGGGAAAGAAAATACTCATATTTGCCACCAACTAGTTATTCTTAATAATTTCTCTAAAACCAAAAATAAAGGCTTGAAAACCCTATTGATAAAGCATAAATATAAACGTTGTTATGCTTTTATGTTTTTTAGTTGCTGCCCCCTGTGGGCAGAAGGCAAGAAAATACCACTAATACTTTAAATGTTATTCATTCGTTCTTTTATTTACATTATATGTATTAGTCTTGGCCTACTTAACAAGTTCCTGTACATGAAATCCCCCTTTAAAGGTCACCTATTGTGCAAAATCCACTTGTTCATGTCTCTTATACATCAACATGTGTCCCCTCTGTGTAAAGAGACTCTGAAAGTTTCAGGACAAAAGATTCTCTCACTTTTTGTCCTGATCCATTTCTATAAAAACCTGTCTGAAAATGAGCTCATCAGATTTTGGCCACTTTATGATGTCATAACGATGTTTTGGCTTGTGTAACCATTAGCCAATCACCAACCAAGGTAACCCCCCCCCCCACCTTATCACCTGGATCTCCTCCTAGAGCACCATTGTGTTCTTTTTAACCAAATATCTCTCAGAGGGGAGGGGCTCCTTATTTTCATCTAAAGTAACAGACAGAGCATCAGTACTTCTGAAACAGGGCTGAAACAGAGGGGATTATGGGTAATGCTGCAATGATCTGTTTGATGTTTGGAGACAAACACTTCAGAGACATGTTTTGTATATATCTGAGACCTATAATAAAGTAATGAAAAACAGTATAATAGGGGACCTTTAATGTTTTAGAATGACTTCTCAACAATGTTTTTGTTTTCTCCTGGACGTGTAGAGTATGACTTAGAGCCATGTGAGGATCCCGGTGTACCGGCATACAGCAGGAGGACGGGATTCAGATTTCGAGTTGGCGATTCTCTGGCCTTCAGTTGTTTTAATGGCTACCGACTTGAGGGAGACACCAAGATCACATGTCTAGGAGGGGGCAGGCGAGTGTGGAGCAACATATTACCGCGATGTATAGGTAAGACATTGAAGTACACACACAAACTGACATCTTACTACACTAATTCCTGGGTTAGTTAGTCAGATAGGTAATTGTCTCTAGAGATCATGAGCATACTACACTGTAAACTCTTTGTCCTTTCCTTATACACATCTCCTTGCACACCGGTGTATATATAGCAGTGTTGTTACAAGCCTTTTAGAAGTATTTTTGCCTTCAATATTTATAGCTTTGGAAGGTTTTATCTTCCGTGCAAATAACTGACCTTTTTCACCACATGAATGAGCCCAGAGGCATCAGCGTTTTCCTGGTTGTAATTCACCAGTACTTTATTGCTGGCAAAAAGGTCATTCAATATTATTTGACCGACAGTTGGCTTTATTTGCCAGGATTTGGCTTTTAGCAGCTTGTCATTTGCAGATTTTGATGAGAATCAGTGTTTCCTTGCTGATAGTAATTTATGGGTCTGATGGTGGCTGCTTGTAATTTGCAATCCCCAAAAGGAGCACGCTGAAAATACTCCAACAGCAAAAGATCAGGAAAGTGTGGAACAGCAGCTAGCAACGTTTTCTGGGTTAATGTCTCTCTCTCCCTCTTTTTCCTTTCCAAACACCCCTCTCTTTAGCTCTGTCTCTCTCTCTGTATTTAGACAGTCCTTGGGTAGATAATTAGGCCATTAGCTGCTATATGAAGAGCGTTATTAGTGTTTCTTTTGTTACTCCCCTTTTCCCTTTTCTAATTTCTCTCTGCATATTTCCAAAAGGCCCATGTCTGGCTCAGTTCATCTGTTTCTTCTTGTGCTTTGTTTTCCTTCCAGCTCTCTCTTTATACCTTGTTTCTCCTTCTTCACTTTCCCTCTTTACTTCCCTGGATTCTCTCTACAGTGCTGTCCGTAATTTCAAAAGATGTTCTAAAGAAATACTGTTGGCATCCTTTAATATATATATAGACATTTTTATTGATTGGGATAAACCCCTTGAGATGCACCATCTCGTTTTCAAGGGGGTCCCGACAATAGCAACAACTTACAGACATACATAAACAAAAAGACAAAATGCAAAACATGACACACAAGACAAACCACTTAAGTCTGTTAAGTAAAATTCAAGCAATGCATACAATCATTACAATTTGAGACAGTCAAGCAAATCAGTTTCATCAATATCAGTTTCATTAATAACAAGTACAGAGCAGTTGAAAGTGAGATGATAATGCATGTTTAAATAAACCCAATGATGCAAGAGATCTAATGGCAGCAGGTAAAGTATTCCAGTCTGTTGGGGCTTTGAACATGAACGCTCTTCTGCCAATCCATTTTTTTGCAGAGGGGACAGAGAAATAAATCTGAACAGAATGTCTAACTTGATGATTTGGTGAGTAAGGTACAAAATACTGCTTTAAATAAGGGGGATAGTTAAGATAAATGCATTTAAATATCATCTTATCGCCTACCCTAATCTGCTTTAAAACCATAGATAATATACAAAAAAGAGTTTGTTTTAAAATTGGTTCAGATTTGATACACACTACAGGTTTTGTTTGCTCCTCACCGGCTTCTCTCTTGTCTGTCTCATTACTTCTATTTCCTTTTTTTCCCTTCCAGGTAGTTGTGGTACTCCTCAGTGGGAGTTAAAAGCCTGCTTTTCTCTACGCCTCATTTACATATGACAAAACTCTGTTTGCACAAAGTACCACTTATTTTAATTCCTAAACTTTGATAAGCACTGCACCTGCTAGATAACTCTTTATCATTTATATGGAACACTTTTTCCAAACTAATCCACACCGCGTTTAATGTAATGATTTCTTTTGTTTGCTCTCTTTTTTAATCTTTTGCAGTTTATGTTTAATTGCTTTGCTTTTTTAATGTGTTTTTCTCGTTTTATTGTCTTATTTGAAGTGTTTCTCCAAAAAGTGTTGTTATACTGTATGATTCATTATTATTATCAACATTGTGGTTATTATGTTTAAATGCCAAAGTTGAATAAGGTTTTTCGTTAGACTATATATGTTTTTTAATGTAATCTTTCTTCTTCATTTTGAGGTCCTTTCCTCACCTCTCTTACACACAATAAGCTAAAAGGTATTCCGACTGCTCCGAGATAATTATGAAGAAATGCTGTGATCCTGACCCCCACTGTCGCTGCCCCCCTACTCTCTTTCTGCAGCGGAGTGTGGAGCCTCCTCACTGGGACCCGAAGGTGTTCTGCTCTCTCCCAACTTCCCCTCTAACTACGATAACAACCACGAGTGCATCTACCGCATCACGACTGAAAAGGGCAAAGGAGTCAGACTAAAAGCTGACAGCTTCTTATTGGAAGATGGAGACTATCTTAAGGTATGTGCTCAGTCACACGCTTTTCCAAACCAGGTGTGCAAAATCAACAAATGCATAATATACATTGTTTCCAGATTCAGACACACAAAAACACATAAAAGATGATAGTCATAATCAAAAGCTCTCTATATGCAAAGTTGTGTATGCTTTGACATGTATGTGCTTGAACAGATTCAAGCACATACAGTGTTTGGTTCATTTCAGATTATGCTTGAATAGAAAACAATAATTGAGTTGTGGATGCTGCCATAATCATGAACACAAGTGACATGATGTACTCAGAAAATAATGAACACACGTTTGGTGAAGTGAGAAGTACATTTATACACTTTTTGACTAACAGGAATATTGTTTTCTGGCATCACACGGGAAAAAGTGTATTATCATGGATCTGTTACATGGACAAAATGAGCATGTGCGACACATATCAATCAAACTCACACACTGATAGCAGCACACAGCAGCCACTCTGAACACAGCAGAGGACAGAGATGAACAGTGGAAACATAGAAGCACATACAAATGAATGTTTGTATCATGCACTAAAGCATGCCTTGCCTTTGCAGAAGCATACACTATCACACACACTTAGTGATTGTCCCCTACTGCATTTGACAAATAAATCAAATACTTGACTGGGAATTTCCCATCTATGCAGTATATACAGTGGGGCAAAAAAGTATTTAGTCAGCCACCAATTGTGCAAGTTCTCCCACTTAAAAAGATGAGAGAGGCCTGTCATTTTCATCCTAGGTACACTTCAACTATGAGAGACAGAATGGGGGGAAAGAATCCAGGAAATCACATTGTAGGATTTTTAATGAATTAATTGGTAAATTCCTCGGTAAAATAAGTATTTGGTCACCTACAAACAAACAAGATGTCTGGCTCTCACAGACCTGTAACTTCTTCTTTAAGAGCCTCCTCTGTCCTCCACTTGTTAACTGTATTAATGGCACTTGTTTGAACTCGTTATCAGTATAAAAGACACCTGTCCACAACCTCAAACAGTCACACTCCAAACTCCACTATGGCCAAGACCAAAGAGCTGTCAAAGGACACCAGAAACAAAATTGTAGACCTGCACCAGGCTGGGAAGACTGCATCTGCAATAGGTAAGCAGCTTGGTGTGAAGAAATCAACTGTGGGAGCAATTATTAGAAAATGGAAGACATACAAGACCACTGATAATCTCCCTCGATCTGGGGCTCCACGCAAGATCTCACCCCGTGGGGTCAAAATGATCACAAGAACGGTGAGCAAAAATCCCAGAACCACACGGGGGGACCTAGTCAATGACCTGTAGAGAGCTGGGACCAAAGTAACAAAGGCTACCATCAGTAACACACTACGCCGCCAGGGACTCAAATCCTGCAGTGCCAGACGTGTCCCCTTGCTTAAGCCAGTACATGTCCAGGGCCGTCTGAAGTTTGCTAGAGAGCATTTAGATGATCCAGAAGAGGATTGGGAGAATGTCATATGGTCAGATGAAACCAAAATAGAACTTTTTGGTAAAAACTCAACTAGATGTGTTTGGAGGAGAAAGAATGCTGAGTTGCATCCAAAGAACACCATACCTACTGTGAAACATGGGGGTGGAAACATCATGCTTTGGGGCTGTTTTTCTGCAAAGGGACCAGGACGACTGATCCGTGTAAAGGAAAGACTGAATGGGGCCATGTATCGTGAGATTTTGAGTGACAACCTCCTTCCATCAGCAAGGGCATTGAAGATGAAACGTGGCTGGGTCTTTCAGCATGACAATGATCCCAAACACACCGCCCGGGCAACGAAGGAGTGGCTTCGTAAGAAGCATTTCAAGGTCCTGGAGTGGCCTAGCCAGTCTCCAGATCTCAACCCCATAGAAAATCTTTGGAGGGAGTTGAAAGTCCATGTTGCCCAGCGACAGCCCCAAAACATCACTGCTCTAGAGGAGATCTGCATGGAGGAATGGGCCAAAATACCAGCAACAGTGTGTGAAAACCTTGTGAAGACTTACAGAAAACGTTTGACCTCTGTCATTGCCAACAAAGGGTATATAACAAAGTATTGAGATGAACTTTTGTTATTGACCAAATACTTATTTTCCACCATAATTTGCAAATAAATTCTTTAAAAATCAGACAATGTGATTTTCTGGATTTTTTTGTTCTCATTTTGTGTCTCATAGTTGAGGTATACCTAGGATGAAAATTACAGGCCTCTCTCATCTTTTTAAGTGGGAGAACTTGCACAATTGGTGGCTGACTAAATACTTTTTTGCCCCACTGTATCTTTGTAGTGTGTTATCAGAAGTAATTTACATGATGCATTGTGGAGCCAGCCCTTTCCCAATGGAGCGGTCAAAGCCCATTAGTTTTGCAAGCTTTTCTACCAGCCATGCATACCTGGTCCAATTATATTGTCAGGGAATGTGTAGGCCTTAATTATATGAGATGTTCAGGTGAGCCAGAAAAATGCTTGGTTAAAACTTGAATGACAGGAGGGGCTTTAAATCCTTGGTTTTCCCAGTATGAAGTTAAATTGTGTTAGCAAGGTGTGCCCTAGCTGTTAGATGTGTTAAACATTGCTGTAAGGAGCTGGAACATCCCTGCAGGGGTCTATTACCCATGTTCTCTATTAGTGCTGATGGTGCTCCTGCTGCAGCGGCCATCCACGGCTGAATGAATACTTGGGAAACACAATGGGATCAATTGGCCTCTGTTAACCCTATAACAAACCCACTACAGTGTATATTATTGTTCTAGTGAAGGTTAACCTTGGTTTTATACACTTGTATTGGTTGTAACATGTGGCAACACTAAGTCAAATAAAGAGCTATAGAACAAAATGAAGAATGCCCCGATAGATTAAATAGACTGCAGCTATAAGGACTTGTATTTACACATACATGCCTCGTCTATTAGCCTTTGTTTTGTTGTAAACAAACATCAAATTGACTGATTATGTATACCTGCAATACCTGTTTCCTCAGTGTGCTGCAAACATGTTTTAAGGATCTGTGTTGAGAATCGTGACAATCTGCTGTCACAATGTATGTATGAGTAATGCATTAAAGTGTTCACATGTCATAACCTTTGATGTGCAAAGTTGTGCTCTCTGTGTCCATAACACCGAGAGCATTACAGATGTTCCCAAGTCCATAACACCGAGAGCATTACAGATGTTCCCAAGGCTCAGAATTCCTCATAAATCCTCTATTGGGCACATGTGCCCACTACAGTGTCAGATAGCAGCAGCTGTGTGAGCTGTTTCACAGTCCTACTAACATCGTATATAACTGTTTCTATTCACAATGTCTCTTAGCGGTATTAGGCCTGAGGGCATGGTTAAGCCAGTATGTGGTTAGAGTGTATTATCAGTATTAAGCCTAGAGCATTGGCTGAGCCTGTATGTGGTAAGATTGTATTAGCAGGGTTTGTCCTGACTTTCAGAATGGCATTACACCAACATAAACTTCTTAAATGTTCCTTTTAAATGTATACCTCAAAACTTTAAAAGCTTTACTTTACTTTACAACATGCCTAGCTTAGATAGCTTTACACCTCTCCCACTATGTCATTGTCTCTGTATTTCAAAATGCATCTGCCAATATCGGAGAGCAGAACATGGCATTTGCCGTTTTAAGAATTGTGATTGTGTTCTTGACAAGGCATTTGACATAGTAGTTACTGTAATAAATTGATTCCTTATCAGAAAATAAGGAGCAGAGGGAAAGTACACAGAGAATGACTAGAGATCACAAAAGTTAATGAGTATGCGCCGGATGCTAACGTAGCAATCAAAAAGTAATGGGAGGTCCAAAGACTCATTGCAAGAATGACATGTCATGCTCAATGAAGGGCACACAACAATATCAGACTTTTTGACTTCAAATTACTTCTAAAAAATAACTTTATTAAATGAGATGAAACTTAAGAATTGATTTGCAGTTATTCCCTCTCCCTGTACAGCACAATGATTTTCATGCAGTGATGTAGAGGGGCCACACATTCAATACAGTACAAACTACTAGGAGGATGATAACTTAACAAATATATCAGGTTCAGGTTATTTATTTCTACCCGTAGGTAGATTTTGTTTACAGATAAAAAACAAGCGATCCATTATGACACACATTCGTAAAATATTTATAGATCTGTAAATGCGCCCCCTTGTCCATCACATTTAAAAACCACTAGTACAAACATGAGCAATCCACAAAGTTAATAAATAAATAAATACATAGGCATTTCTTCCATATCATCTGTGTGGCACTGCTACAACTTGTTCATTTGCGCAATGGCTGCTGGAATAAAGCCGTTTTTTTACCGCTTTGTTCTACACTTTGGGACTAACCTCCGGCCCGAAGGAAGAATCCATTAAGCAATGATAATAACCTTTGTGTTATTAATACATCGAGTTGATTGGTAGTATGAATAGCTGAATTGTTCCATTCCATTCCATTTTTTGGGACAAAAAAAAAAAAAGTTCTGAGCATACCAGCTCAATTAGGATGCTACCATGACTGTTGACCTTAAATAGTTTTTGCCCATTTTTCTGTCAAAGAAATCGTAATTTAAAAAGATGTAATGCTCGTGGAGCAGCTGTTGATCAAATGATTGATTGATTGATTGATTGAAAAGTTTATTAACAGCTTGTATATTGGGTACAGTACAGTACAGCTCAAAACATACAATTGTTAAGGGGATGCAGACCAGAGAAAGACTTTCGTCTTGTTTACATCAGGGTCCCCCATTTCCAATTCATCATGTCATTTAAGACATATAAGACATATTTGACATACAGATGGCTTATTTACAATTTACATACAGGTGGTTTTTTTACATACAGATTGCTTGTTTACAATTTTCATTTTAGATTTCGTTCTAATACATCCTAACCGGACATCTACACCAGGTGTGTCAAACTCAAGGCCCGGGGGCCAAATCCGGCCCGCGACTTCATTTCATGCGGCCCCACAAGAGCTTGCAAAGAATATCATATGTTTATTATACAGTTACAGGCCGCTTTACAGAAGCACAATGCCCATCAACTACATGTCCCACAATGCATCTCAAATTAGACTTTTTTCTCGGAAATTGACTTTTTTTTTCAAAATGTCACTTGTTTTTTTTGTTGAGAATTTGGCTTTTCTTTTTAAATCATTTTGTGACATGCACACTGAAAGAGACTTGCAATTGTTTACCCTAGACTTCTGCTTTCAGACGTAGTTAATTATGAAGTTATTACCCTATCTGATAATAATCCAATGCAGAGGCAATCATGTAATATAATTAGGGCCGGGACTTTAACGCGTTAATTAAGATTAATTAATCACACAAAAATAAAACGCGTTAAAAAAATTAACGCATTTTAATCGCACTTATTTTTGCACCGCGGAACGTTTCTCACTGGATGAGTTTCAGGCGTACCGATTATACTGGAGCACCAACTAACGTTCATGACTTCAGACAACAACAAACCACAGTGAACAACAGTGGGAAATGTTGTTTTAAAAAAACGGACGGATGGAAGCGTCGATAAGAGCACGGTTGTGTGCAAATTATGCAAAAAGGAATTCGCATATCACCGCAGCACATCAAGCCTCAAGTATCACCTCAATGCAAAACATATAGCAGCTAGCGTGGAAGCTAGCGTGGACGTTAGCCTCTTTTATCGCGTTCACACCAAAAGAGCCGGTACTAAAATTAGTTCATGAGAACCTTTTTACCACCCACGAAAGTCCCTGCTAGAGAGCAGAGAGCTGCTAGAGAGCAGGGACTTTCGTGCGGCTCTCTTGTGAGAAAAGAGCTATATTTCTGATTGGCTGGGTGGATTGCAAACCACGCCCCGTAAAACTCCCAAAAAGTTTTGTGAAGCCGCCATTTTATTATCCTCGCATTAGCATTATTAGCATTAGCCCAGCGCAGAAACGCAGAGAGACTAATTTATGGCAACACAAAATAAAACATGGGAGCGGTGGAGATGAGGAGGTGTCGGCGTTCTGGCGATTTACTCGGAAGGCTTCAGTAGAAGCTGCTGGGACTCCCAGCAGCTTCTACTGAAGCCAGTCCCCAACTCCGGGGACTTTGGGCAGCAGTATACGCCGTGAAGTGGTTTGCGGCCTGCCAGTAAACCCAAAGCAGAAGAAGAAGAAGTGACGTCAGCGGCTTCATTTGCCTAATCCACCCCCAGGTTCAAAGAGTTCTCATGAACTAAGTTCTCATGAACCTTTGTGGGAAAAGTACTGCGGTGTGAATGCGCCTAATGGTATACTAAAATCCATGTGAAAAAAATTGCATCTCACTGTTCTCAGGTCAAATATTTATATGTGATTAAAAATGCGATTAATTTCGATTAATTAATTACAAAGCCTCTAATTAATTAGATTAATTTTTTTAATCGAGTCCCGGCCCTAAATATAATACATTATTTTATATATATTAAATATTTATATATGTATATTTATATCGTCTTAAAGTTACAACCGGCCCTTTGAGTGCAACCATGATGCCGATGTGGCCCGTGATGAAATTGAGTTTGACCCCCCTGATCTACACTAAAGCCATCTTGTGTGGTGGTATTGAAATGATGTATAAGAGCAACTACTAGTACGTTACAACAGATGTGTGTTAATTATTATTTTCCCATATAATGATCAGAAAGCACAGTGCAAAGTATAATGAAATGGGAGGAAAGCTCCAAAGTGCCACTTAGCCTAGCAATTAGCATGCCACTCCCCCTGCTAACAGTATGTGACTTAATGCCTGTTACAGCTGAACACAAACCATCTGTTTGACAGATCCAGCAAGCGTTCGGCTAAAATCTCCTATGCAACAGCTCATTACCATTCCTTTTGCTACTGGCTACATTTTTGCCTTGGCACTTTTTAAAGAAAGGTCTAGCCAAGCTCAATAAGCCTACAAATGTCCTCTAATTCAGTGCTTGACCAAAGATACTCAGTGGTAGGCTACTACATCCCCGAAGAAATATAAGAGGGTTAGGAAGAAACAAAGTAGGGGTGTGCAAGAATTGTTCCATGGAAATAGAGGTGGAGGGAGTGCAAGCAAGAAAAGGAGAGAGTCAGAAGACCGAGGGAGGAGGGGTGGCAGATGGTGACATGTTGATTTATGAGCTGCAGGGCTTTTCATTAACCGTTTTACAGAAACAGAGAGAGGAGGAGAAAAATGATAGAGAGAATAAAAGAGAGAAACAGAAAGAAAGAGGTGGACAGCCAAATGCAACATTTGGGGAAACTGATGTAGAACTGGAGGGGTACAGAGAGGGAGGAATAGGGAAGGGAAATTAAGTTTGGGGGAGTATTGCCACACATATCATGATACAGCTAATCTTTTTTAACGCTTAAATTCCCAGTATGCTTCACCATGTCTGTCTATATTTGTCATGTATGAACATGCTGTAGCTCCTGCTTTGGCTTCATGTCGCGGTATCTCCTCTGACTGGCAGTACTTGCAGAGATAGAGCAGTACATCTCCTTAGCCTTTTTTCTTTGGCATCCCTGCCACCTGCAGACCTGTCACCACCAATCTTTGGAAATGCCCCAGGCTGCCAAATATAAGCACGAGCCGTTCGCATTTATATCCCAGCTGTGAGATAGTATTATGAGGTGCTTGAGCGTGCTAATTCTCCCCTTCAAACTGCAGTCAGAAATAGACTTCACTTCCTAAACTACGTCTTCTCTAATGTCCACATTCAAGCATTCAGAGACTAGAAAGCAACAAAGTAGACTCCAGCATAAACGAAAGAATCTCAGTACCAAATACTGACCACCTGTAAACTGGAAAAGTGGCTCTTAGAAGTTTGGATTCATTAATATGAATCTATCTATCCTCTTCTGCTCTATAATCCACATGCTCTCTATGCTGAGTACTTTGCAAACAACAGTTTCACAAAATGCGGCCAATATATGGCCAAAGTACACAGCTACCATGTGTTACTAGCTAAGCTTGCTTTGTTGTGTTTATCAACAGTATGTTAGCTTTCTTCCAAACCCCACATGGAATTTGATAACTGTGTACTGTACATGTTTTGGGAAAACACAACTATTTAGAACATGCTCTGTTAAATTACATACTTGGCATTTGGTAAGTAAATGTGCTACAGAAATGTTCACATTTCTAAGTTGTTATGTTCTGGCAGCCATTGCTCCAACCTTCATACTGTATTTACTTGTTTGTCAGCGCTCATTTGAAATAAATGATTGATGGTTTTCCCTTTGTGCTATCACTGTGAGCGTACAGTTATATCTTGACGATCATATTTCAAATGAAAAGAAGCTAAATTGTTAGGAGACCAAAAAGAAAGACTGAGTCTAGCTTAATTATTTTCATAATTATTGCAAGAAGGAAAAACAGAGAAATAAAGAGGATGCAAGCTAGTCCTGCAATATTAATCCAGTCCAATAACACATCTTATTTTCCAGTCTTCACTTTCTTGCTATTTTCCCCTCTAATATGTATTTTCAAACCAAGTCACACACAGCCAGGCACTGCTTTGCTGTTTTTAACTAAATGCTCAGTAAACTGCAGAGAACATGCATGCTAAGACTTGTAAACTAGGAAACAAAATGTATATATTGTGAGGTATTTCATGTGTTCAATTAAATCAACCATAGAAGCATTGTTTCCAAAAAATAAAAACACATTTTGAATATTTATTATAGCTGCAAATCAAAAAAATGTTCTAATTAAAGTGATACTTGAATCTATTGCTTGACCCAGGATTGAAACTCCAAATCCAAAGTAGGTTTGTACAACAGTTTCATAACAACCCTTTTTATCGTTGCAACCAACATTTAAAGTGAGTTTACCAATTGAATTACCCACAAACATTGTGTTCAATCTTCTCTGAATTGTTACATAAACATGTTGACGGTTTACCATAAAAAGGAAAGCTTCATCTCTCCTTCAGGCTGCATCAGAACCCTTTACAACTCATTTGTGACCTCAGAATCATTCATTTCATATTTTAGGCTCTATCATGATATGCTTTAAAAGTCCTCAGCTGATGCAAAGCTAAGCAAAGTGGCTATTTCCTGGGGCACACTGAGGTTTTTTTGCCTCGCTTGCGTTGTTTGTTTTTTGGATGAATGACAGTGTGTTGCAGAGGTGAGGCACAGGAAATACAGCAGAGCCCTGCAATTTCTGTTTCAGAACTGACCACACTTTATGGCATCCTTTTTCCAGACAGGGTCAACAAATCACTGCCCCCCCTCATTTTATGATCATCCTCTAGAAACACGTTCAAATTCATGTTCTGTGTTCCTTTGATTGACAGGTGTATGATGGGGAGAACACGACATCCCGTCTACTTGGAAACTTTACACATGATGGCATAATGGGTCTTGTCATCAATAGCACGTCCAATCGTTTGTGGCTGGAGTTCAACAGCAACGCCTCTGGGACCAATCAGGGCTACCGCCTCACATACACAAGTGAGTGGTTCGAGAAAGATGAACTCAAGTCAACTGATTAAAAACTCGACAGCGATACAGTTTGTTTTTCCATTATATTTACTCATACAGCCACACATGTGTACGTGTAGGCCAAAGAAAAAGCAATCCTCTCTTTCGTTCTCTCACAAACACACACGTTTCTTTTGCTCATGAACGCAACAGAACACAAACAGTATTTTCTTAAATGTTCTCATCATTGCAGTCCTTGTAAGGAGATGTTTTTAATTGAAAACTAGAGTGCTAGTGATTGTGTTAGATTGCACTCGTTAATATATCCTGCATCTGTCCTGTGCCTCAGCCAAGTGATTCTTGAGTGCTACTGTACATACTAGAACAAAATAGGAGTCATGTACTACAAAACTCTAGAGACTTGTCTTTCTCCGTCAGCAAATTACCAAGCCATGTCTTTCCCTTCTGACAGCTGAGAGAGATCAACAATTATTCTTACAAGCAATTCAGCTGGAGGTGGAGCCAAAGTGCAACAGTAGTTTACCAGCAGGCACAAATATAATTGAGCATACACTATGAATTGCCCATAA